TGAACCGGGCAAATCTAGTCAGGCCGAAGGCCCAACGAGCAGTCCAGATCAGCTGAAGGCCCCGAAGACGGCGGTCTAGATGTGCCGAAGGCTCGGAGAGCGGTCCATATAGACTTTGGACTGGGAGTCGGTCCAATCAGATTGATGGCTCATTATGCATGTTGTTTACTTATATGTTTTTATGTATGGTTATATCTGTATGACATGGGTATTTTGGGGAGACTAACTAAGCTTCGGACTTACAGATTCAGCTTTTGTTTCAGGTACATCAGATGATCGCGGGAAGGCAAAGGCGTGATCGTACAACTCCTCATGTTTATGATTTGTTTCTGGGATACTATGATATTATACCGTTTTGAAAACAAGTTTTGTAATAATTAATGGTTTGAAATGTTTTGAAAAAGTTTAAATTTGGCCTGATTTTTATGGATGTTACAGCCTGTCACCTGAAAAACTCCTCCATGTGACCTCTCGTACTTGGCACATCGTCCACAGCCCTACTGGCCCTTACCAGAAGAATCAGAGGTCTTAGGCTTTTTAGCCTGACCTACAGCTATATGAACCTGCTCTAGCTTCCGCTTGGTGCAAAGCTCCAACTCCATCTCCTACTCTCGAGCCTTCTCCACCATCTCATTCAAGGTTTTGCACCATGTAAAGCTCACGAACTCACGGATATCATCCCTCATCATGGAATGATACCTCGTCCTCTTCATATCCTCATCCGAAACATACTGCGGGATCAACCATGCTCGTTCTCAAAATTTGTCGGTGATTTCCGCCATAGTCTCGGTGGTCTGGTGGAGCTCCTGGAACTCCCTCACTAACCGTTGCACCTCGATAGGTGGTGCAAAATCTAAATCAAAGCGTCTGACAAACTCTAGCCATGTCATCTCAGATACACCGGCTGCTCCCACCTGGCTAGTCATATCCCCCCACTAATCCCTGGCTCGGTCCCTCAATATACACGAGGCAAACCCCACCTTTGCCGCATCAGGGCAAAAGCTCGTATGCTGGGCGTTCTCCATGTCTGCCACCCAGCATCGACTAGGTATGTGGTCCCTGACCCGAAGAATTCAGGTGCTCCGCACGCCTTGAACTCCCTGAACGAGGGAGTTCGGGCCCCGACCTGGCCCGCAACAATCTCGGCTTGAAAAGACCTGAGCCACCCCTCCATGTTCTCCATTATCCCTTCCTTGATTTTTCCAAAAACCACTGGGGTAGCGTCAAAGATTCCTCTCGTAACCTCGACTACAATAAGCTTGTGCAACCTCTCATCAATGGGCTCGATATCGTAGCCCGACCCGGATCTGACCCGGATCCGATGCTGATCCCCCTGCTCCGTGACGAGTCACGACCATCCTGATCCGAAATACCACTAAACAAAACGATCAAGATATCCAAAATAGGGATCCTTCCACACCGGTTCTCCTTAGAGCTTCCAGATCTAGCATTAGTTTGGGGTACATGTCCTTTGCTTTCAGTAGTACGGGCCCAATACTACCTTCCACACCTACCTGTACCTTTCCCAAGGCTCTACCTGATAGCATGGCTAACATATTGGTGAACCACTTACTTGAGCTCGGCCGATTACGCGCATTGCACACTTCTTTTTTCAGTTTAAGAAGTTTTAACTTTGATTTTTGAAAACAATTTTACCATTTCCTTAGTTTGAGTCCTGACACACCCGAGAGTGTGCCCAATTCCCTCAAACCAAGGCTCCGATATCAACTTGTAACATCCCAAATTTCCAATAAAAAATTTCATTTTTAATTAACAAAAATCATTCTCAATACATAATATTACAACCATATTTGTTTTTCAAAAATCCATAATATCGAATAATTTATCTAAAAACATTAGTGTCCCAACAAAACGTCAGAGAGTGCATGCCGCACCATCATGCCAGACCCTTGCCCTTAGGCTCTGAAGTACCTGAAACAGCCAACAAACTGTAAGCTAATGCTTAGTGAGTTCCCTAGAGCATACCCCACACAATCCACATAATCATATAATCCATATTGGCTATATCAACTACACAAACCACATAAGCATGTATATAAGGATGCCCTAGAAACCCTCCACGGTCTTACTCCGGGTGAGATGGAAACCCGCACATGGTCTTAGCCCAATGACTCGGGAACCCCACGAGGTCTTGACTAAGGATGCCCTAGAAACTCTTAAGGGTCTTATACCCTAATGCCTCGGGAACCCCCCGAGGTCTTTACCTAGGATTCCGTGGAAACCCTCCAAGGTCTTACACCTAAATGCCTCGGGAACCCCCCGAGGTCTTTACCTAGGATGTCGTGGAAACCCTCCAAGGTCTTACACCTACGTACCCGAAACCCCCCCCCCCCCAAGTTCTTCCATGCAAGTATCAAAATGATAACTATCATATCACATATCACGCAATCAACTAACATTCCACATAACACATAATGGTTAGCCTTGGTGCCTTCGACCCATTGGTATGGTGAGGAGACTCACCTCTCAAGAAATTCTGAACCGATAAGATCAATCACAATCCACAAATCCAACTCAACCGCCTACAATCGCCAAGTAACTTATTTGTCAAAATCCCGAAATACCAAAATACTCTTAAATTCAAACATGGTCAAAGTCAAGGTCAATGGCCCATGTTGACTCCAACTCATCGAGTGCATAAAGCAACTCGTCGAGTTCCTTCAGTGTTCAAAAAACTAGGAAAAACCCTAACTAACTCCTCGAGTTATCTCATCAACCTACCGAGTTTATCCAGGATTCAAAAAGCGGGAAACCCCGACTCAACTCGTCGAGTTGGCTAAGCAACTCATCGAGTTCCTTCACCCTTTTCATATTTAGTCCTTTCCAGTCGAATCCAAAGCTCTAAACTACAGATCCAATCCCCTAGGATGTAGTTACCACATAAATTTGCCAACTTTACATGCATGCAAGGCCTTAAAAGGATAAAACACTCAAAACTAAGCTTAGGAATAGGTTTAGGGCATGGAGAAGGACCAAGACAAGATAAAGTCGACAACTTTATGTCCATGGGGCTTAGAGGAGTCCAGATTTAAGACCATGTTCTCATGACAAGGTCAAACCCGAGAGTGACTCCATTTTTCCCTAGAAATGACCATATTCTTGCATAAGGGAAGATCTAAGAAATGGAAAGCCAAGGTAAAGACGCTTTACCTCCAAATGGTTGCTAGCACAGAGTAGATGTTGGGTCTACAGCCTCTCACTTTGCTCCAACCTCTTCAAGCTCTAAATTTCTTCACAACCATACCAAAGTCACTCTCCAAAGCTCTCTCTCACACACACACACTCAAGAAGGTACAAGGCTCGAATTAAGGATTCTATAGGCTGTAAAGACGATGAGGGAGGCCATAAATGAGCTATAAGTTCTTTTTATAGGGTGCAAAACCTGGAAAATTAGGGTTTTCCTTTCCAGCGTCTACTCGTCGAGTTGGGGCCTTCCAACTCGTTGAGTAGACCCTTCATCTCGTGTCCGTAATGATCCTTACTCGACGAATTGAAGCTTCCCAACTCGTCGAGTCCCAGTCCAAAACCCTAAAATGTTAGAGAAATAAATGATATATGAATCAAGCGTTACAGGTAGGGTGGATAAGCTAATGCTTTTCTTCTCTCTCTCTCTCTCTCTCTAATAAAGTACTTAAAATAATTTCAAAAAATACAAAAAAAGAAATGAAAATGGCAAAATTATCATTTCAAGTTTACCAAGGACCAAAACCAAATAAATTTTTTGATTTTGGAGCTTCTATGCAAGTTAAAAACTTTTTAGACCATATCCAAAGTTTTTTGTAAACCATAGGGAGCAATTTTGCAATTTTATCATAATTATGATCATTATGATCGGATATAACCTAGTAAAGCAGGTCATAATAGTTATATGTAAACACTTCCAAAATGTTTATTGCCTAGATGTGTACAAAAAAATAGCTACCCAAATGTGAACAAACCAAAAAATTATTTACCTTATTAAGCATATTTCCTATTTTACGAATTAATATTTATCATATCTTCCTATTATAATAAAAGAGTAGTTTTTAATCTCCTTTTGATATGTATCACCATATTAAGCCTTATAATTAATACAAAATTTATTTTTCTTTTGCTATGTTTCACCTTATTATGTCTTATAATTAATGCATATCATTTGTTAACATATTGATTCTCCATTTCAAATTTCAAATTTTAAATTTCTCGTTTTAATTACATTAAATTAACAACATTAGAATAAACATTAAATAAAATTAATACAAATTATAAAGTGATATAATTTTATATATTTATTTAAATCAATGATTATAATTTTATATAACTAAAAAACTCTTAATTAATAATTTATTTAAAATAAGTTATTAATAGTTTTAAATTTTAACTTTTAAAGTTTAATTAATTTTATAACCGTGATTCCCACGGGTTATACACTAGTATCCCATATTCTAATAAAAGAATAGTTTTAATCTTCTTTTGACATGTGTCATCATATTAGGCCTCCTAATTAATACATATATTTTTTTTGCCATGTGTTATCCTATTAAACATCTTAATTAATGGATATCACTTATCAACCTATTAATTTTCTATTTCAAATTTTAAAATTTTCACTTTAATTCCAATAAATTAATAACAATGGAATAAAAATTAAAATAAAATTAATATAAATTATAAGGTGATATAATTTCACATATTTATTTAAAATAACGATTATAATTGATTAATAATTTTGTGTTCTAACTATTAAAATTTAATTAATTTTGTAGCTGTGGTTTTACGCGTTATAAACTAGTTTTATAATAAAAGGGAACAATTGAATTACTAATTCCTGTATTAACTTTTGATAAACAACCATCATTTTATTATGAATAAATAATCAAATGATAAACAAGCGATGAATAAATAATACTGCTTGATTCAAAAATAATAAAACCCATAATTATCGATATAGTCTATTAAATTATGGGTACCCGTTGATAATGCGTGTGTATTATTTTAGTAAAAAAATTCCACTATAAAACCTGCACCATCTCTCAATCAAATGGCATCGAAACCCCAAATCTTTTGGGTTTACGCATCTCATTTTCCATTTTCTCCTAAATATTTTAATCACTAAGATAATGCACACACGATTCTCTCTGACACAAATTTACCCAATTCCTTTCCTTTTTCTTCGCAGATCGATAACTCAACCAAACTTCCAATTAAATACTCTCATACCCTCTCTCATTTACTCCAGATTTTTAATTCTTTACAAGAACCCATTGATCTTGCTCAGAGCTTTATCGTAATGGGTCTTTTAAGGTTTTATTTAAGTCGTGGGGTTAGTTTCTTGTCTTAACGAACATGGGGGGTTTTATGCTTTGTCTCCCAAACAAAGGCAATCCGATTTCATATTTTTAATTCTGTATGTGTGTCTGTGTGTGTCTGATCTCACAGTATGGGTCACTGCCATTAAAGCGGAAGTGAACCTTTCAAGTCTGCTACTTGATCTTGTTTGTGGGTTTGTTTATTTATGCTGTGGGTCTACTCTAGGTTTTTTTAAAAAATGTGTTCTTGAACATTTTGCCTGTAAGGTGTTCGATAAAAATCCTCAAAGAACATGGGATCTCAAAATGCATTTTTCTCCTCAAGCGAGTTTAGTTTGGAAGCGAAGTGGGTAATCGATCCGAAGCTTCTTTTCGTCGGTCCGAAGATCGGCGAGGGTGCTCATGGCAAAGTATACGAGGGCAAGTAAGTCATTGTAGTTCGCAAATCGCAATTAACGACGAACATCGATCTAAATTATTAATTCGTTCCCGATTTCGTTGTTTTATCGATTGTCTTCTTTCCCCCAGATACAAAAACAAAATCGTCGCCATTAAAATTGTGAATAAAGGCGATACGCCAGAGGAGATAGCGAAGATAGAAGGTCGTTTTATGCGAGAAGTCGCAATGTTATCAAAAGTGCAACACAAGAATTTAGTAAAGGTACAGTTTTAATATCATTAAATAGACTATGAATATCGGATAATGTTATATTATTGATAAGAATTAAAAAAAAAAAAAAAAAAATCGAATCTTGTTTTGTATTAGTTCATCGGAGCTTGCAAGGAACCAGTCATGGTGATAGTCACCGAGCTTCTTACCGGTGGAACTTTGAGAAAATACTTAGTGAATATGCGACCCAATGGGTTGGAGACACGTGTCGCTATCGGGTTTGCTCTTGATATTGCTCGTGCAATGGAATGTTTACACTCTCATGGGATCATTCATCGCGACTTAAAACCTGGTAATTTTCATTTCGTCGTTTCTTTTATAGTTAGAAATTAGAATTAAAAATATATTTTTATTTGGATAGATAAAAATCATATATATTTTTTTATTCAGAAAATTTGCTGCTTACGTCAGACCACAAATCTGTAAAACTCGCTGATTTTGGTTTAGCAAGAGAAGAATCATTAACAGAGATGATGACAGCAGAAACTGGAACATATAGATGGATGGCTCCAGAGGTAATTTAATAATTTAATAATTTAATAATTTATAAATTATAATTACTTTTCTATTTTTTTTTATTACTAACATTTAATATCTAAAATACAAAGTGTAGCTTTATAGCACTGTGACATTAAGGCATGGAGAAAAGAAGCATTATAACCATAAAGTAGATGCGTATAGTTTTGCCATTGTTTTATGGGAGCTTATACACAACAAATTACCATTTGAAGGCATGTCAAATCTACAAGCAGCATATGCAGCTGCTTTCAAGGTATTATTAATTTTTATTTTATTTTTATCTTCTTTGTTTTCGGGCAGTTAGGGCAGGTTAGTTCGGGCAGGTTTGGGTAAATGGTAAATTGGTAATGTGGTGGTGGTACCTTGAAATTTTCAAAACTTGAAACACACGCGTTATATTTAATGATTAGTTTAGAAGAAAGTTTTTTCACAAAAAGGTTGAATTTTTTGTGTTTAGAAAACGTTAAATGTGAGTAAAATGGGGAAATAATGGTATAATGAGAAGTCAATAAAGTATAGTCGTTTGTTTGTTTTATATTTTATTTTAAAGGAGGATGCTTAAAACATAAATTAAGTGTAAATGATAAAGTATATTACTTTGATTGAATTACAATTTTGGTCCCTGTTGCTTTTTTTTTTTTTTTTTTTTTTGGTTTAGGTCCAAAAATGAATCCTTTTTGCGGTTTTCGTCCTTATTTCAGGGTTTCATTTTGTCATACCCATGTAAAATGACCAATTTACCCCTACTTTTATAATACCCGTGTATGATGCCTAAAACATAAGTGGATAGCATTTTTCCGGTTTAGGTTCGAAAAGTAACGATTGTTTCCTTTTAAACGCTTGTCAAATGACTATTTTACCCCTACTTTTACATTCTTTGTCTAAGCAATAAAAACCAAACATAATGTAGGGTATTTTTTTAAATACAATTATTAAACCTATTGGGAAAATCTTATTATAACGTAGGGATCCGATAATTTTTGTTAGAACCCATGTTAAATGACTATTTTACCCTTTTTGATGATTTTGTCTGACAGAATGTAAGACCAAGTGCGGATGACCTCCCAGAGGATTTGGCTCTAATTGTGACATCATGTTGGAAAGAAGATCCAAACGCTCGCCCAAATTTCACTCAAATAATACAAATGCTTCTTCATTATTTATCAAACAATACAACAATGGGACCCACATCCATCCCACCTCGAAATTTCACCTCCCAAAATACCATCTTTTCACCCGAGTCTCCCGGCACAAGCACATTAATGGGGGAAAAGGATGAATCGGTTGAAACACCAAAAACTCCTGTTGGAAATAGCCCTCGAGGTCTATTTTCGTGTTTTTATCAATGTTGTTGATGATAAAGATGAGAGCTTGGAAATATATATAAGATCATGTATAGAGTGAAAGTAGTAAGAAAAGAAGATTAGTTGGGGATTTTTAGGAGGTGTTTTATGTTAGGTTTTAATCGAGAAATATGGACTTGAAGTTGTTTAAAAGAGATTTCTTAGATGCCGTGTTAGCATACCAACGGTGAAAAGCCATTTGAAATGGAGTTTGAGAGTCAAGAGACGGTAAAAGTTTTGAGTGTCAGCAGTTGCAGTGTCAGAGATTTTGTTTTGCTATGTATCGGATTCCTTGTCAATATTGATTATCTAGCAGACTGTTGTGTACCTGTTATGTAAGTGATATAGACTCAGTCTTAAGATGGGATGGTGTGGGCCAACTTAAAGTTTCTAGATGCTAAAATTGTGTGAAAAGGGGTAGGGTTGATGTGATGTTGTAGGTGTAGGAAATAAAGTCCATCCAAAGGCCCCATTTATACCCCTTAAGTTATAAATGTGTCCAACTTGTACTCTTTTGCCTACCAAATTGCCATAGATTTGTTTGTATTCTTCACTATTTCAATGATCAATGCATTGGACCAAATTGTGTACTCTTCAAATACCTTTCACTTTTGTCCTATAATCATATCATTTCCCTTATTCTTTCCCCGATTCTCTCTACCTTGTAAATGCACCACTTATTTCCCTTTATTTTTTAAAATAAATATATAAATAATTTAATTATAAAAGGAAAGTATTTCATTAATTTAAAGAAAATAAAAATCACATTAATTTAAATACTTGGGTCTTAGATCATTTTCGCTCCGATATTTGGATACAAAAACATTCTTTCATGTTATCTGATTTTCTTAAAGTAAATTAAACTGGTTGATACATTTTAGCAAATATATTGAGATGATCGGTGGTAGAAAGTACAAGTAGAACAATCTTTCTAACAATCCAACTACATCGTGACTTAGTATGTTTCGTATGCTTATGAAAGAATTCACGTGAGTTATCTAAATTGCATTTTGATTTTCATGTCAAAAAGATGATGAAGTGGAATAAGAAGCTCTCATAAAAGCCTAACAACTAATGAAGCTAGACTAAGTTCCAAGTGGTATCCATAAGAGCATGATATTCAACATTGGCAGTTTAAAGATCGTTTCTTATATCTCCTTTATGAAGCAACATTTCCTTGTAGTGGACCTAGTAAACGATATTAATGTAACATGTAATCAAACACTTTCTCTAACTTATTTGTTTTATTTATTATTTTTCAACATTCAACATTCAACATTGCAAAACTTGATATAGTTGATATTGTGCATAAATGATCAAGTTTACTCTCTCAAGTGCTACCTTATTTTTCTAGTTTTTAACTTTTAAGGTTATGTTTTGCATAGTAGTTGATAACTGAAAAACTAACTGGTATATGAAAAGTTAACTGATAACTGAAAAACTAGCTGATAAAAAATAACGCTTAGTAAAACTAGATGATAAGCTATCTAAAAGATATAAAATAACATAAAAATAGGTGTTTGATGGACATGGAGGAAAAGGTGCATCACATTTTGTACGTGATAATTTACCAAGAATCATTGTTGATGATGCTAATTTTCCATTAGAACTTGAGAAAGTGGTGACAAGGTCATTTATGGAGACAGATGCTGCTTTTGCGAGGTCATGTGCTCTTGAATCTGCTCTTTCTTCGGGCACAACTGCACTTACTGCTATGATATTTGGGAGGTTAGTTGATTGTGTGTGTGTGATTTTTTTTTAAAATCTCTTTGATATTTTGTTTCTGTTTGATTGAATCTTTTTGTGCTTCTAAAGGGTTCGATGGTTATTAAGTGAGGTTTATAGTTAGTTTATCCCGGAAAGTTTGACTATTTGACCAAGTGGCTAAAATAACGCTTAGTAAAACTAAATGATAAGCTATCTAAAAAATATAAAATAACATAAAAAACATTTAGAAGAATATGTTTTTTTTATGATAAATTAAGGGTATATTTGAAAAGTTTTAAAAAAACTTATAAAAAGCTAGTATAAATTAGTTTTTTTGTTAGTCAAACATGTCATCATAAAAAAGCCAGCAAAATAAACTAGTCATGACATACCAAATACATCATAAGTTGTCATGTTTGATAAACAAAAAAAGTATCTTATAAACTAGTTTATAACTAAATACTTAGATTAGCTTTTCAGAAGTTTTTTTTAAAAAGCTATAAAAAATTATGTTTAGTAAAAACTAGCTAATAAGCGAGTATGAAGATATAAAATGATCTTTATAAGATTAATATTTTTTTTATAGTTAATTAAGGGTACATTTGACAATTTTTAAAAAAAATCATGAAAAGCTATTTTAAGTAACTTTAAAAAAACCAAATTATCAGCCACTTTTTGGTTTATTTGTAAAAAAAAAATCGAAAAATAAGCTTGTTTATTCGCTAGTTTTTACCAATATTAAAAAGTCTTATTTAGTTTATATGTAAAAAAAAATCACTTTTAATATGCATAGAAACGTTGTTACCAATTGAAAAGCTTAATCGGGGTTTTGATATTAAAATTTGGATGGTTATTAAATTTTGATAATTATAGTTTAGAAAAATTAATTTATTATCATTATATTTTAATTTTATTTTATGTCTTTTTATGTAATTTTACATATTTCAAAGGTTTATAGGTAGTTACCGAACACTTTTATAAAAATAAAAGATATAGTTTTCGACTTATACCAACCGTTGTGTTTGGACTAGAACTGACAAAAATCGACCTAATCCACCAATCCAACCCGAATCCAATCCAAAATTAACAGGTTAGGCTGATATTTTCAACATATTTAAATAGGTTGGGCCGGGTAAAAATTATTGATCCGTTTTCAACCCATTAACCCATTTAACTTTAATTTATATTTAATTTAATAATTATTTAAATATTATCATGTATTAATCTAAGTATTAATTTATAAATTACAATAATCGTATTATTATTATGTTTGTAATCCTAATTTCTAATTTTTTTTCTTGGCAACGACAACACTAGTCACACTTTAAAATCATTTAGAAATTACATATATTTAATTTTATTAGAACAAATTCTTTGTATATATGAATTGAGATTGTACTTTTGTTTTAATTTGAAATTTTATTGAAGTCTATAATTAATTTAAATGGTGTAACTTTTAGTTAATTTTTTTATTTATTTTTAATTTCAATAGGACAACCTAAGTTAAACCCATTTATTTAATACATTAGGTTGGAAACTTTATAAATAGGTCAATCTGATGACCATCTATTTATCTGAAATATTGGGTTGAAAGATTGGACTGGGTTGAAAATATCAACCTATTCAACTTAATTAGTAAATGGGTTGAATCCAACCCAAATCAACCCATTGAATAATGTCGATTTGTTACGTTTAACTTGTAAATCACGGAATTTCGAAATCTTTGAGGTCTAATATCTTTTTTACGACTAGCAGTAGAAATAGCAACGTCTGTGGATGCTTAACTCGTAAAAAACCCTAGCTCTGCAACATCTTGTTGCTCCGTTCCCTCGTCGCTCAAATCTCAATGGCAATGGTGGCTGCCACTTATTCCTCTCAGTTTCAGTTCCAATCATTCTCTTTCGCCAAATCCATAAATAAATCGATCATTCCCGGAAGTGTGATGTGTTTCAAACCGAGTTCAAAATCAATCACCAAAAAGAAGATGAATATATGTATTGTGAGGATGTTAGAAGTCTTGGATGCTACTGAAAGAACGCCTTTTTATCTTTATAGTAGGCCACAGATAACCAGAAATATCGAATTAGCTTATACAGATCTTTGGAGGGATTGAATCCAGATGTTGTGATGACCCATATTGAAGCCTAATTTTATCATCTTGATTAAGCAAGAAGATGGATTTAGTTGATCAAAGCATTGTCTTTTCTTTCTTTGAGGGCTAATGGAATGACAACGTACAAACTTTAATTTCTTGGATACATTGTGTTTTTTCCTATAAGGATGCAATGTTATTTCTTTTATGTTTTATGTTTTCCTTTGCAATATAATAGTTAAAAGATGAAAATAAATGTCATATCTATAATACTTTCAATAGGTCTGATGTGTGTAAATTCAACTAGTTTTATCCCTACTTTTTATTAATGATTTGAGCACACAAAGGCAGTGACCCTGTCTTTAAGTGGTATAGATTGATAAGTAAGGTATCGAACTCAGGGAACGGAAATTAAACTAATAGCTAATTTTATCTAAACAAATAATAAAAGTAAATGGTTTTTCTCTAGTTTTGCAAGACTAGAAACTTAAGCAAGCTGAATTTAACTAATTAACTAAAGCAACAACTATTCACCAAATTTGATAAGATGTTTCTATTTAGGTTCAACCAATTCACTCCTATGGTTATTTAAGTTAAGGTAGATTAATTGCTATTGGTTACCAAGTATAATAGTTAGGTTCATGTTCATTACTCCTAACCCTTAGACAATTAACTAATTCAAGCGTTGATCAAGTGTTTAAACTAATTAATTCCCTAGATTAATTATTTGGATTAAATAAGATTTGTAATGGTCAATTAAGTTATCAATTCAATTAACCTCTTGCTGATGGTTTCTCAACAAGCTCACACATTAATCTTCCTATTTTCTTATTAATCTTAGTTTCATATTCATTACTTCCAAGCATACGTTTTAGCATTCACATAGACATATGAGGTTAGCAATTAGGTGATGTTCATGCAACCTAATTACCTTCCAATTAACAGAAGATAGTAGTGATTAACACATAAGGTTCTTTAACAAACTTAATTTAATAAATCACCAATAGACAATTAAACATAATTCAATAATTAAACCATAGGAGTTCCTTGGTATTCCCCAAACAGAAACAAAAACGAGTTTAGCTCATAGTTGCAGTAGAAACAAGCATAAAAACAAAGTATATGAAAGCAAACATGTTTAATTCCTAAGTCTAAGTGGTAGAATCAACCTAGTTACTTGAATTCTTCCAACTCTTGAAGCTTAGGGTTTTCCAACGCCTTCTGAACCTTTTAGTCGCAGCTAATCCTCCAAAATTCGCCAGGGGTTTTTTGTCCCATGTGATAAGGATTCGTCTTATAAAGATATCTCAAAACAGAGGGTACTCGGCGAGTAGCAGAATCAACTCGCCGAGTATGTCAATACTTATCCGTCTTCAGATTAACAGTCGTACATATCTTCTAGCATCTCATCGTGTACTCGCCGAGTAAGGTCGATGTACTCGCCGAGTATGTCTTTCTTAACACCCTTTAATCTTCTCTTGCTTTCCTTTTCTCCTTTTTGCCTCCAAGCATATCTTTTGGACTGAAAACACAATTCAAAGCATTTTAAGTACCTTTTGTCCAAATTATTCTCATAACTGACCAAAAATAACTAAGAAAATATGTTAAATGATTAACTAATTATGCACATATCAAGGTCCATCCTTATGTTGCAACGGTGAACAAGAACTCTAGATTTGGAATAAGAAACGAGAAATTGCAATTGTTTTCTGAAATTTATTTATTTATTTAATGTTTGATGTGGCAACGTGCGGGAGGCAGTCTTGTCTTGAAACCTTAATCTCATCTATGAGCTTATGCGTCCTAGGTTTTATGGTGCTTATCATGTAAGATTTTTCCACTCGGTCATACCTATATATAGCTTATTTATTGGATTAAAAGTCCTTTTCTTATCATGTTCATCTAGTTAAAACTAAACAACACCTAAATGTCTTCCACCCACATATGAATTTTCTAAGTAGGGAGCATTAGACTACCTCATTTGGGGGATTTTTGGTGAGCGCTCACGATAGATATAATAAAAAAAAAATTAATTAATTTGGTGAACTAGATCGATAAGACAACCCAACTCAAAAAAGTTCACACCAATTTTACTTTTACACATGTTGAACAAAGAAACCTCCAAACATATTTTTTCTAGATAAGATTATATATTTTAGGATAAACATCATTATCTACTAAAAATCTAATATTATCTCAATCAAATTTTAAAAAAAAAAATACTAAAATTTATATTTTTTTTCTTTAT